ATTCTCTGGCCTCCAGGGGCTTACCCACTATATCCATCCATCCAGGGGCGGGGAATACACATGAGCTCAGCAGAGTGATTTCACAGGAGCCTCTGGTGTCTGGGACCTATTTCACGGCACTTACACTTTTCATCTTTACCTGCTTTACATATGGGGTCTCTTCTTAGGTGTCCTTTGAGGAAATGATTCCTTGACTAAATCAAGACTGAACAATCACGTTGTGTGTCCCATGCCCTCTAAATTGACTTGGGCATTTGGAGAAAATTATACGGGGGTTATTCGGAGTCCTCTGGTGCTGTGATCACACAACCAAACGTGCAAATGTGTAAGAAAAAAGAAAAAGGAGAATAAAGAGGAAGACACAAAAATTACATAGGTTAATACCTACATCTCTATTTAAAAAAATCTATAGATCTATATTTCTATGCCTCTCTGGCTCTCTATTTGTTTTGAGGCAAATACATGAAAATGTGAGTAGTGGCTATGTCTGTCTGGTAGGCTTTTTGATGGTTTTAATGTTTAAAAATTCGTCTATAAAAATTATTATTAATAATTAAAATAAATAAATAATACTACTTTGTAAAATGATGAACATAGATATGTTTTAAATCAGTACAGGAGGGCTTCCCTGGTGACGCAGTGGTTGAGAGTCCGCCTGCCGATGCAGGGGACACGGATTCGTGCCCCGGTCCGGGAGGATCCCACATGCCGCGGAGCGGCTAGGCCCGTGGGCCATGGCCGCTGAGCCTGCGCGTCCGGAGCCTGTGCTCCGCAACGGGAGAGGCCACAGCAGTGACAGGCCCGTGTACCAAAAAAAAAAAGAAAAAATCATCACAAGTATTCCCCCAATCTAAGACAGGAACACCCAACCTGGACCCCCAATGGTCTTCCTTACTGTCACTATGATATTCTTACTATTTCTCAATTTGTGTGTTATCTTTTCTAGACTGTTAGCTGCATGAGATTATATCAATTTTGCTCAATATCACATTGCCAATATATAGCACTCTGCTTAAATATTTTTTTACATGAATAATAGTATTTTATTGCACTCGCTTATTTACTACATTTTCTCATCCTACCGTTGCCCAAAGCCAGGAACTGTTTTTTGTTTTTTGTTTTTTTTTTGTGGTACGCAGGCCTCTCACTGCTGTGGCCTCTCCCGTTGCGGAGCACAGGCTCCGGACGCGCAGGCTCAGCGGCCATGGCTCACGGGCCCAGCCGCAGATGTGGGATCCTCCCGGACCGGGGCACGAACCCGCGTCCCCTGCATCGGCGGGCGGACTCCCAACCACTGTGCCACCAGGGAAGCCCAGGAACTGTTTTTTATATAGTTTCATACTCCATGCACTAGACGTGGTAGTGTCTAACACAGAGCAGGAACAATAGTTACTTGTGAAAGGAATTAATCAATGTATAGTGATGATTGCCTCCGTTACCTGGGCATACATGTCATATTTGTGTGGGAGTGTTTTTGAACGTCTTTTTATTTGTCCGCTAGCCTCAATGAGGACAGACATTTATTTTTCTTGCAACTCTGCATGCAAGTTTAGGAAAGTATTTAACATATAGTTAACGTATGCTTCAACATATAGTTCAGTATATTCATCTGATTTACTACGGATCCTCTTGTAATTTAATATTTGTTCAACAACCACTTTTTACTTTCATTTTTTAAAAGTTTTTATTGGAGTATATTTGATTTACAATCTTGTGTTAGTTTCAGGTGTACAGCAAAGTGAATCAGTTATACATATACATATATCCACTCTTTTTTAGATTCTTTTCCCATATAGGAAACCATTTTTTAAACTACTAACTCCAACCCAGTAATCAGACTGGGTGGTGGTTCTCCAGTGGGGCTGGTTTGGCTCGGAGGAGAGCCATGCTGCAGGTCTGGAGACATTCCTAGTTGTCTGGTTGGTGCTACTGTCACGTAGTAGTTGGAGGCCAGGGGTGCCGCTCAAATCCTAGGGCAAAGAACAGCCCCGCCCCCAAAAAAGAGAGGATTTTAGTCACATATTTCAGTATTTCAGCGGTTAGGAGACCTGAAACTAGAGTTCAGGGGAACGCAGATGAATAAGGCACAGCCGTTGTCCCTAAAGGTCCCACAAGAAAAATAGACTTGGAATGAGTCCTTATACCAGGGCACTTCCTCACAATAATAGAGTGTGTGAAACAGAATGGGATGTCGTTAGCTGGACTCATCAAGACAGTTACACTGAAAGGGGGACAGCTTGGGTAAAGTCATATGAAAAACCCAGACTGGAATGTATAAATGTAGTAATTCCCAGAACTAGCAGGAACTAACTAGAAGGAAATTGAGGTTCCTTTTATTGGAAAATGAACTCAAGGTGGACATAAAGACTTCTTCCTACATCTATAAAAGATCTTCAGCGCTGAGACCAGCATATTGGACTTATCAATGCAAATTTTTGATTTAATGAATGACAAGCCAGTGAAGAAGAGATTTTTCTCTTTCTTCCTCCCTCCCTTCCTTCCTTCCTTCCTTCCTCCTTCCTTCCTCTCTCTCTCTCTCTTTCTCCCTCTCTCTTTTTCCCTAAAACACAAAACCTCTGAGGTTGGCCGTGGCTCAGGTCTTCCTGCAAGGAGGGCTGCTCCTCTCTGTTCATCCGCGTTTCTCCTCCTCAGATGTATTCCTTTGGGTAGTTTGCCAGTAATCACGGGATTGCCTCTCAGCTCTTAACCCACCCTTCTTTGTCCTGCCCTATGCTACTGCAGCTGGACCCTGTTAAAGTTTCTCCTCTGCAGCTGGTAGAATGTTAACTTCATAAACAGAGGCTGGAGAAGTGACCCCAAAAAGGCTGGAGACTGAAAACACTGTCCTCCTAGATCCAGGTCCTCCGCTCTGGGTGCTGTGCTCTTACTATTTATTATTATCCTTCAGTGTGGTGTGGAGACATTGATATCTATCTATATACGTCTATATCATATTTTATATATATATATATATATATATATATATATATCTTTTGGTGTCCATACTTAAAAAACTTTCTATAAGGCTTGTGCATCAATAAAATGTTACAGCTCGGGACTTCCCTGGTGGCACAGTGGTTAAGAATCTGCCTGCCAGTTCAGGGGACACGGGTTCAAGCCCTGGTCCGGGAAGATCCCACATGCCGCAGAACAACTAAGCCCGTGCGCCACAAATACTGAGCCCACGTGCCACAACTATTGAAACCCATGCTCTGCGACAAGAGAAGTCACCTCAATGAGAAGGCTGTGCACCACAACGAAGAGTAGCCCCTGCTCGCCGCAACTAGAGAAAGTCCACGTGCAGCAACGAAGACACAACACAGCAACAAATAAAAATAAATTAAATAAATAAATTTTAAAAAAAGTTACAGCTCACTATTATCCATGAAAAAAGAAAGACTGAAGAGAAAAGGCCAATCCCTCTCTCTCCTGTGTAAAGCCCCATCTCTGTTTCTACTTCCTAGTTGGAATCTCCTTTACTTCCTCTGGTAATTCGTGTGATGAATGACTTCATGTTTTAGGTAGAATTTGCATCAGACTTCCGGGGTTCCTATCCTGATTCAAAACTAATTAGATCTATCACTTTGGGCAAATTATATAATTTTTTCTATGTTAGTATTACGATTGGGAATCTTTTAAATGATTATTGAAAGGGAAACACTTTACATAGTGCTCCGGGATACAGTAGATAATATAGAAAAAGTGCTTTACAGAATGCCGAGCACATAGTAAATTTTTTGTCTTTGTGTGTTTGTTTCTTTTTGTTTTTGTTAATGTAAGACCCTGCCTCCTAAGCATAGAGAGGTGGTCTTATCTATGTAAACATCTGTGAGCACCCATCTCGACAGGGCTGTGACTTTTAAGGGTATAAACACCACAAGAGATTTGCATGTTAGTAAAATAGCTGAGGAAGAGCCAGGACCAACGGTGGACTACAGTAATAAAGACGGCTCACATTTACTGAGCACTGACCGTGGACCGAGCCCTGTTCTCAGTGGTTTTGCGAGTATCAATTCACTTAATTCTTACAGTACCTGTATCAGCCCAGGTGACAGGTAGTGCTTTCCCGTGCTGTGAACGAGGATGCTGAGGCATCCATCTCTTCCCAGATCTGTCCTAGTTACAGAGCTCAGAAAGAACATGGCGCTGAGTCTAAATCTGTGTCTTCAGTGATTCTAGTGACTGCCCCTCTGATGGCCACGCTGCCTCTGAAAGCCACAAACAGGGAGCTTTTCTTTTCTTGGCGCAAGAAAGGAAAGCTATTAAAAGGGGTGATGCTGAAGGGGCTTTGGCAACCCACTAGCCTAAATGCTTGCAAGCCTGGGGGCATGGTGCAGCCTGAGAGCCATGTCACTTGCATAAATCTGCACAGTTAAGTGAGTATTAGATCTGGAACTGGAACCCAGGTCTCCGTTCTATGTCCTTCTTCTCTGTCTCTCACATCCCTCCAATAACATAGTCCCTATTCTAATGTGCATTATTAATTTCCTATGTGGTTACCTTTTAAAAAATATCCATGTCTCCCCAGTCAACCATATATCCATTCCATGTGGAGTTTAAACTCTTGTAAATCAAATGAGAACATGACAAACAGGAACGAAGGAATGGTTGCTGGACTTTTTTTTAAAGAATAAAATGACTTCGATGAATAGGTATTTATGGGAAAACACTCAAATCTTTACAAATATCTTAATGCTGAAAACATATTTTAATTGGCTTAATTAATAAAGGGGAGGAACTTTAACAGAGCCTTGGGATTAATCATTCCTGAAAATGATGAACTCTTGGCTGGCATCTTTTGCAGGGGATGGATCGTGAACCCCTGCACGGCTGGAGCCCTGGCAGAGAGAAGCTTGGGCATCAGAGCAGTGGCATCGCAGGAGCCTGCATCTTGGAGAGACATGAGGGATACGAGCGTGGGGACGAGAGAGTTAATGCCTCCCCGTGCGAGAGAGTTATATCACACAGCACCAGTGCGAGGTCAGCAGTCTGGCTGGGGCTCGGACGTCGCTGAGTGTGCCAACAAGCACCCCGGGCAGCCCTTGAGAGGGTTCCAAATCCAGGTTTCATTCTGCAGCCTGGAGGATGCTTTGACGATCGCCTTGCGAGAGGAAACTAGAAGCTGCATCGGTGATTCCCAGACAAGCCACGGGTTAGAGCACGGAACTCCCCCAGCTGGGAGCCCGCTGATGCAGTGACAAAGGGAGCCCGGCTGAGACCCTGCTCAGGTGAGATGAGGCTTCCGGCTGTGGGGTCTTGTCTCTGCCGTTCGTAGGAGCGAAAGTCAGTCTGCTGGGACTAGACGCTGCTATCAGGCAGGTTGTTTGCTGAATGCCTTTCGTGTTTTCTCTAATTCCTTTTTCAGAAGCATGAGCTAGCCTGATGATGCACTTTGGTCAGAAAGCCACCTCTAAAACCGGGGAGCTTGTTTCCTAGAGAATCTAGCTGCTGGGGGATTCCAGAGCAGGCTCTCAGGAGGGTCAGCAGCAGACCGGAGTCGGATTAGCACGTCCCCAGAGGCGATTTCTCACTGCGCCCCCAGATTAATACTGGGATGGCGGCAATGGAATATACCAGGGGGTCTGGGGTGCTGGGTCCTAACTCAGAGCCCATCCTGGGGTTACCAGGAAGCCACGTGATCTTGGGAAAAACATGATTAAATATTTGCTGAGACAGGTTTGAGTCCTTGGGGTCAGAATTGTGTCCGGTTTACCTTTGTGTGCTGAGCCCTGGGCATGGGATCTGGTGATCTGCGTGCCTAAAAGTTACCCAGCGACTCACAGTGCTTTGGAACAGAAAGCGTAACAACAAAATATGGGTGTAAACTTGGAAAGGCCATGACGTCTGCGTTATCATCTCAGGGAAGTCCCTTAGCCTTTCGGACCATTTGCAAAATCGTGTGTTGTGATGCTAACCCGAGTAGGGATCGGAGCAGCTGTGAGGCGAATGTGGGTGCTGAGTCAGTGCCGTCGCCCAGGTGGCCTGCGCTTTGGGTGAAGTGAGATCCCAGTGACAGGTCTCAGGGACGGAGAGAAATGGGAGTGAACCTGGGGCTTTGGGGAACAGTCTGGGTGAAGCCCAGTTACGACGGCCAAATGGTCTGACAACCTTGAGCCATACCCACCACGTTGGGGTCAGTCTCCAAGATGTCCGATCCACTGGGTGGGGTCTGTCATCAGGAAGCCTTGTGGCAAACAGCGTTTACAATCAAGCAAATACCTGTTTTCAATGGCCAGCAAATTCTTCCAAGTGGCACCTCTAGCTGAACTCTTGAAAAGGCAGGGATGACTGCTGCTTTCCTGATTGACACCGTCATGTCTCCTCACTGCCTTCAGGGCTGTGACCCACCAGGCTGATTCTAGCCTCTGCGATCTCTGTGCCCGCCTGTGCGCTTCTGGTCGCGTTTCTGGACTCTCTGCTTCACGCTTCACGCAGCACCTGCTCAGGGCTCGTATTTTCCTGTTGTGTCCCTGATGCTCTCACCATCACATGTCTGTTTCTGCTGGACCCTCAGCCTATAACACCCCCTCCGGCAACCTGTACCACTTGTATTCATTGTTTAAGACTAAGTTCAGTTGCAGTTTCTTCCATAAAGCTTTCTGGGGCTCACATAGGTGTTTCTCTTCTTGCCCTGAAAGCGTCCTATGCTGTTTCTATGCCAGAATTGCATTGGAATTACCTGCATCCCCCGCCAGTCCATGCTGTGGGTTCAGCATCCTGGTACACCCAGAGTCTGGCACACAGTAGGGAGAACCTTGTCTGACCATATGTAGAAAGAAAGAGTGTCCACCTCTGGGAAACACTTCGGAGCCTCCAAGTGTTTCATCGTCTTCCCCAGGAATGGAAACCAACAAAATATTCAGGGGAAAAGCAGGAACACAGTGTCCGGAAAACAGGACTGGGGGCATCCGGGGGGCTACGGCTCAGAAGGCTGAGCAGGGAACTTGACCAGGTCCAGGGCACTGAAAGCCTCCCTCTGGGTTCCATGGCTGCCAGCCTGGGTCTTCCCTGGACTGGAAAGGGGACACTGAAGCACTGAGCTAAAGACCGAAGCCAGAAAAGAAGAGTAGGGAGGGCAGTGATGGCCAAGCCTTCAGTGGAAATAAGCTGCATTGTTTCAAGTATTCATTCCCTGCATTGCTTTGCTCTCATGTGACAGCGCATTGCAGCTGTGACATGGGAAATATCCAGAGAGAGGTCTGTGAGACTCTAACTTTGTCCCCGAATCAAAGTCCGAGGCCCTCTGGTTTGGAAGGTGAGGTGGCCACCCCTGCCCTTCAGCCCAGGGGTGCACAGGCAGCCCTGCCCCCATTAGCCATGCACAGGAGAAAAGGAACCTGAGCGGGTGCCCTCGTCCCCTGGCACCACCCAGGTCGACTTTGCCGCACTTGGTACAGGGCTCACTAGGAAGGCAATTAGAACACGCAGGTGACAGGTGGTGTCTAAGAGTCAGAATCTGCCTCGTGACAAATACGTCTCAGACTGGTGTAGACGTGAAGGGACATTTACTGGGCCAGGTAGCCAGGAGGGTCAAAATATGATTTTGCTTCTGTTCCCAGCTGAGTCCAGGGGTTCAATGAAGTCAACAGAAATCTATGGGTATTTATGTGCATTTCGTTCTATTTTTCCTGTCTCTCAGGTCTGCTTTATTTATTTCTGTATCTATTTTTAGTTGATTTTATTCACAAGCAAACACTTCCTGTAGGGCGGGGAGGATGGTACCTCTGACAGTTCTAATTAGTAAACTCAATAATAAAAGACAACCTCTTTCTCCAGAGTTCAAGAAAAATCCCAGTGTCCTTTGTTTGGCCTCATTTGGCTCCCAATCCCATTCCTAAATGCAGCCCTACGGCCAAGGGGATGCAGTGTTTTTTTTGTGTGTGGCCTCTCCTGTTGCGGAGCACAGGCTCCGGACGCTCAGGCTCAGCGGCCATAGCTCACGGGCCCAGCCGCTCTGCGGCACGTGCGATCTTCCCGGACCGGGGCACGAACCCGTGTACCCTGTATCGGCAGGCGGACTCTCAACCACTGCGCCACCAGGGAAGCCCAGGGGATGCAGCGTTTTGAGGGGCCATTCCTGGGTCTGGTTTCTCACCAACCCTCACGCCAAGCAGCACTCACAGATCATCCTACGACCACACGGATCCCAAGCTCGCAGTCGCATGCTGTCAGGGCAAGCCGGGAATTTAGCAGCTCCCTGGTGAGCTGGCTTCATTTTAGGTTTATTAATTTTCAGGGGGGAGGAGGGGATGTGAAAATATTATACTTATTGATTACAACTTAGAGAATAAAGGAAAAGGAAAGATGAAAATAAGAACTTTTCATGATCCTCCAATGTATATAGATAATATCTCTCATTATTCATTATTTTCCTCAAAAAACTGAAAAGTTTTCTACATAATTTGAAACATTTTCTATTTTGCAGTCCTGACTTTCATAGTGAGCATTTTCCTTGATCGCTTCAATTTTCCTTATAATATACTTTAATGGCAGCATGACCTTCCCAGAAATAAACTTACACGTTCATCTAAACTCTTTCAGCATTTTCCTTCCTTTTGTAGGTGAGGAAATTGAAGCCCAGAGAAGGAAAACAATTTTCCAAGATTGGCAGCAGCACAAAGACGTGATTTCAGGTGCTTTGATCCTAGTTATCTAACCTCTTACTTACCTAAGGTCTTTATCTTCATGTATCTGCAAGAGATGCTGAAGTGTTTAGATCTTTTTTTTTTTTGGTGACAAGAACTGATGGATAATCATCAATATTAAAGAGAGGTGCTTGATAGCTGAGTAAAGTTCCTGTCCGTCAGCAGACGCTGCCTGAAGCTCTAAGGAAGAGCTTAGAAGTCCTTCAAGGCCCTGCCCGGCATGGTGGGTGGGAGGTCGTTTCTAAAGGGGGCAGCAAAACGAAGTTGTCGAAACTTTGTAAAGGTGGAGAATATTTTGAAAACACATGTTCTTCTTCACAAGACAGTGTGTGGGGATGAAAGTTACGAATGTTGTCTCTGACTCCCTGTTTTCATTCACTGAACAAATATTTATTGTGCACCTGCTCTGTGCCAGGCACCAGTCTAAGTACTGAGGACAAGCTGTGAAAAGACAAGGGCTGTGCTCTCAGGGAGCTCATACGCTATGCAGGGGAAGCGGGACAGAAGGTTAGACAACTAAGTTGTCAAGATAGGCTACTTAGGATGTAAGCACTGGGTTGAGCCGGGAGTGAGATGAAACATCCGGAGCCGGAGCAGCCCCAGCCGAGGGGAGAGTCAGTGCAAAGGTCCTGGGGTAGACCCTGCAGCTTGTGTGAGGAGCAGAAGAGGCCAGCCAGCATGGCTGAGGCAGATGAAGGAGGGGGCTGTGGTCTAGGCAGAGGCAGGGCCAAGTAAGGAATCTGCATTTTATGAAAAGTGTGCAGGGGAGCTGCTGGGAAGCTTTAGAACTGGATCGTGACAAGATGCTCTGATTGGTGTTGTGAAAGATCACCCTGGCTTCTGGGGAAGGATGAATTTGGGAGACAGGAATGGCAGGGGGGAGACAGGTTAGAAGGTTATTGAGAACGACCTGGCAGGAAATGGCGGGCCCTGGTTTCGGGGGAGAAGTGGCTGGGTGATGACCTTTGGAGGCCACAGGACTCCTGCTGGTTGGATGGGGATGGGGGTGGTGAGTGGTGGTGTGTTTAGGGAAAGGGAAGAATGAAAGATCATCACTACAGCTTGACCGCACCAAGACTCAACACCTTGTCTCTTCCCCCAGTTTTCTGCTTTATCCAGAGGGAAAGGTGGAAAAGTGGGAGAAATTCATAAGCAAATGCTCCAACACTCATTCAGACATTCTGTCATCATCTCGTGGAGTGGGGATGCCTGCCTTTTCACACAGGAGGGACGGGTCTCAGGGCTCCTCGGGGTGGAGTATCCCTGTGGAGGAAGGCTCAGGAGAGGTCTCACAGGCTCTGGACCATGTGTGGTCCCTGCGCGCAGTGGGGTGGTGTCTGTGCTCCCTGGAGAGTTGCAGCCCCTGCCCTTCCTCCACAGAGCGACACGCGGCTGGGTCTTGTCTTTGTGGAGCCCCTGCCCCTCCTGTTCTAAATGGTCTTAGGCTGGAGGCTGCCGTCATCCTTCCTCATCCTCAGACCTCGGTTCCCCTGAAACAAGCAGCTAAATGCAACCGTGAGGGGCTCGGTCAGGAAACGCAACCGAGGTGACATCTTATAAATAAGAGCTTCCATCCCAGTTAA